AATAAAAGCAATCTCAGTGTGTTCGGACACGAAGTTGCAACACTTTTAGATTATCATTAGAATAATATAAATTAATTTTCTACATCTTACAAACGAAATTAATTAAATAATTCAGAATAATTGGTATTTAAAAGCTCCTGACTAGCACATACAAAGGGAAAACGATAGGAAAAACAGACAATAAATACGAGAAACTCAGTTATGGGTTGGCTGAAGACAGTAACTAAGCTTAGGGGTCTTCAACAGTTATGAAGAGGAGTCAGACTCTTGAGAAAGGCTCAGAGCTTTAAGAAGGACAGTTAAGAGCTAATCGTGTTTTATAATTAGAAGCAGTGCCAGTAGTAGAAAAACACTCGGGAATTATACACTCGAAGTTATTGTATGCTAGCAGACCTCGTGTTGATGTGGAACACAGAAGTAGAAGGGCAACTGATAACGGAACGGGCGCAAACTGTAAATCCAAACTTACCGATGTACCTTATGAAATCAGGTCTACATCGATTGAAAAGTGCAGACAAAATATTTCCCACATCTGCACAGGATGGGAGACATTTTTCAGAATCTTATTACTTTAGAGTGATGATAAAGAAAAAGTTGCTTTACTTCACTAATATGGACTCTGAGTTGAAAAAGTAAAATACATTCCACGCTTAGACGGCACATGGGAACTGGTGCTGAACTCCATTCTCAATAGCACAAGTAGATGAAAATGATAATAAATCCCCTCTAGTTCATCGCACCCATTGTTATCCATTACACAGCTGGAAAGACTAAAATAATTGGGAAAAACCGACTTACTCAAGATGTCGGAAATAAGCCTCGAACTCGCAACCTTCCAACTATAAGCCCAAAGCATTACTAGCTGGACCACTTTTGTATTCCACTTAACTAAGAGATTTACTAATGGATACAATTCAGAAAGTCTTCTGGAAATTTCCATGGACATGAAATGCCAAATAAAGATAACTTTTTTTTTTTTTGTCAGTGGAAGGATTTAGAAGAGAGACTAAAAAATAGAAAAACAGTAGATAATGTTCTCGAAACAGAGAGAAAAGAGAAGTAGAAGCACTGGAATATGGTGCTGTAGAGAATCTTAGACTAGGTATTGTTTTCGTTGAGAGAACCTTTCTTTCAGAGTTTCAGTGGAATAGCTGGGAGTCTCAAGAAAAGGCAATTTTCTTGGGTTCCTTGCACTTTGGGGAAATATCATAAGGTGATGGAAAAACATCTGATTGCAATTATTACTTCCATCAATGAAATTCTATCTTTCACCCTAAGACAACATGAGTTTATTAAGCTGTTTGCTGATGCAACCGCAAGCACCATAATCGACCAATAAAGTTGGCTAAGTACTCTACAGCTGGAATAGATTCCATACCAGACTTGTCACACATAGAACGAACGTCAGCCATTTTAGGATATGCGTATATCTAATCTCACAAATAAAATAAGCATTGAATAAAAGTTTCTACAGTTTGTTATGGATAATTATTCTACGGGAGAAAATGTGTCTAATTTGTTCATAGAAATATTAAAAAGGCCTTAATATGAGAGTCCAAGTTATAACAAAGATTAGACATGCATGGGAGGTACAGGGGCATATTTCGAGTTTTAATTTATAAACATCTTCAGTGCCACAAGCAAATCTCTCCTTTAACTTGCTCATTTTAAAGGTTGTAGCTTCATCCGTAGAATGCAAAAAATGTATTTAGTGTTAAAGCGTGTGTTTATCTCATGTTCATGATAAACAAACCTAACCTATATTGAAAGTTATTTTCAGATGCACTGATTTCCCTCAGAAGTAATCAGGTAGGTTCCCAATGATAACAAGAAGTTCACCAGAAAATGTTACAGAGTTAAACTGTATTCTCTGACTTTTGATTATGTTGTGAAGAATGGAAAAGACTGGAAACAGTGTATGGCAATGTGAAACAATCTTTATTTGATGCACAAAACAATAAAAACAAATGTATTCATTAAGGACAGCACCTTCATGAAGACTCCAAAGATCACTGTGAGTAAGAAGACTCTGTTGAATTCTGGAGCAAAATATATCACAGTATGAAAAACATAACGTTATATGCACTAAACAATGAGGCTGTTCTTCTCAGGATGCGTGTGCCACCCACGATACTGTTGAGCATTTCTATCGAAAAATAAGGGAGGTTGTTACCTCAAGGTATCTCCTGGTCCACCAGTGACAAATATCACTGTCCACTTTTACCTAGTATGTTCTACTTTACAGAAGTCTTTTTCACAAGAAGGTACAAGTGATACCATAGACAAATGATCCAAAACAAAAGGCAAAGGTGAAAGAAACTTAGCTACTTTCTTGACCAATATTCTTCGTTAAAATCAGTACACTGTAACTACAAAAGCTTTAGACATTTTTACATTAGATAAGGATTTAGAAAACACGTAGTATGTCTTCATATTACAGTTTCAAGCTGCTGAAGTTCAAGGTGCTACAAGTGAGAAGTAACAGCTTTTAGGTATCTGAAGCTACTTTTTGGATTTAGCACATTGGAAATATAAAGCTTTCAATTTTATTTATTATAGTGCATAATGGACTTTTAAGAACCAATAACATTAATACTCTACTGAAGTCTAAGCACATATCTTTGGATGGCATGGTAAACCTCATTGATTCATTTGAATAATGGGGGAGGGACCATGCAATGAGAATAATGAATGAAACTAGGAGAACTGCTGAAGGACAAGGGGTAAGTGGTGTCTTAAAAAAATATGTTTTTTGGTGGTAAATGTTCTGGTGACGTTAGTTGGAAACCCCGAAAGAAAGGTCCACACTGTAGCGTTCAACTGAAGACACCTTTCAGATGTAATAAGGTTCTTTGCATTCTTGACGAATTTTGGAAGGGAGTCACTTTCTGAAGACAATCCTCAGCAGTCCGTAAAATAGGTTAAAACAGACGTTACGCCAGATTCATTAAGTGTTCTTAGCTTGCTTCAACAAATGTTATCTTACGTGAACACACCAAACACAATAATTGCTCTGCGCGTGTTTCCGATCCATCTTTTGATCGACAACAACTGATAGATCGTTCAGGAAAGTTAAACTTACGAGGAAAGGTTATGTCATCTAGAAATTTTGTCGATTGATATGGACATTACAAGGAAGTAGTCTTGACAACATAATTGAAAAATGGTCTCATATAAAGGCTTTTATTTGTTTGTTGTGGTGAAGTGCAGAGCTGCAAAATGGGCTGTCTGTGCTATATCCACCGCATGATTCGAATGCTTATAACTGAACCACCATGGGCCATATGAAGGTAAGAAAAGGTTTTGCCTTAAAACTGGTATTTAACACATAGACACAAGAAAATATATGTAAAGCTTTTGAATGAATGGTTTGCTATTATTATTCTTATCATTAGTAACAGTATTTTCTATTTATTATTTTTGTTATTGCTCCTTGATGGGCGCGGGCTGGTCATGCGATAAAGCTCTGGAATTTGAAGCTGACGAGTTGGCTCTGAATCAATACAATACCAAAAACCATTTTCTTCACTTTAAGCTGTAAGTTCATTATAAGTAAGTTCGTTATATGCGAAGATATTGGGTAGTAGGGTGCTGCTGACTAGCTAGCTAGCAGCCTTTATTTACTTTAAGCTGTAAGTTCGTTATAAGTAAGTCCTTTTACTTGGATATTGGGTAGTAGGGTGCTGCTGACTAGCTAGCAGCCTTCCCTATTGCCAGTAGTTAAAAAGGAACTGCGACAGATAGCCTTAATAGCTTTGCTATAAATACAGAATAGAAATTGTTATTCATGGCTCAATAGTAAGTCTGAGGGATTATGACGTTAAAAGTCGAGGCTCTATTCCTGGGGTTGGCACAGTGCAGATAGCCCATTGGGCAGCTTTGAACTTAGAAGAGAAAAAAAAAACAACAGCAACTAATTTTTGCGCAAAGCTACACAAAAGCTATCTACGCATAGCCATCCCTACTGTTGCACGATAGATTAGAAAGAAATCAGTTAGTCGGCAACTACAAGTACAAAGTCTTGTCTAACCGAATAGAAAATTTTGATCGTCAATTTACACACCCAAAGCCCCGAAGCGTAAATCGCGTTTTTGCGGTAAGAAGATGCAAACCGTGAATCCTCGGCTTCAAATCTGGATACGTTAACTACTAGCCCACCAAGAGAACCTCCGTTACAAGCATAAGAGGAATCTCTCTACGCTGGCAAGTCCCATCACTTGGTTCTTTTTTTTTTTTTCTGAAGTGTAGTTTTAAACTTTTCGTGTGGATCATATATCAGCAGCTTTATTGTATCCGCCATCGTAACTGCCTCGTTCAAACACTGCAGTTACGTAACAACGGGGCTGACATACTTTTCTTTGACGAGGGTACGTCTTATTTTTCTCCGTCCAAGATGAAGGAGATCAGTCATAATACCATCATCATTACAATTTCTAATTTGATTGCTTAATGTTACTAAAGGGTGCTGAAGTAATAAATCAGAAACACAAGGATAAAAATTTAAAAATATCTGATTTTCTTTTAAGCTAACCTCCCCTTTTTGACTTTTCCGCTTTCAAGCAGTCTTTTATGGAATATTCTGATTGGTTTATACAATTTATAACGTAAAAGGAAATTTACAGGTCAGTAGGAAACCGATAAAAAGCATGGAAAAGGTGCACAAAAGGTGTCGTGGTGATACAAAGTTATTTGGTATTTTGTCTGATTGTTGTGATTCTTAACGGTAGGTTCTTACCAGTTAATTCTTTTAAATGATTGCTTTTATAACTTAAGCTGTAGTATGTGTTGATATTATATTTAATTATTTTGGAAAACTATTTAAAGTTTCTTTTTCTTTCTATTGCTTATGTATTTTGGACATGAGTTCTTGTTCGTTAGATACAAAGTATTTGTCTTTGGAACTTTTATTAGTGTACTCCCTTTTAAAAGTATTAACGCTACTCTTTACATTATTCTAAAGCTTTTTAAATTTTTTAAGTGTATTTCTGTCTAATGTAGGGATGTCTGGCCGAGGTAAAGGTGGAAAAGGCTTAGGGAAAGGAGGAGCTAAAAGGCACCGAAAAGTTCTAAGGGACAACATCCAGGGAATCACCAAACCGGCTATACGACGTCTTGCTCGACGAGGGGGAGTAAAGCGAATTTCGGGACTAATTTACGAAGAAACTAGAGGAGTCCTCAAGGTGATATATTATCTTCTATCTGAAATTTGCTTTCTAACTAGTAGTGCATGGGGGGGGGGGGATTTTCGCTCTAGTTCTTATAACTTGAGCAAAATGTTTTCGAAGATTGGAAAAGGATCAACTGTCTGGCAGCTATATACTTGGAAAAAGGATTCCGTAAAGTCCATCCTTTGTAAATGGTCTAGTTTCGTATTACAATAAATACTTCCATTCGAATGTAAAATCTAAGCTTATTGTGATTTTTATAATTTTAAAATGTTGATTTGAATTCTCCTCCTTAGTTTTTAATTTTTTTAGTTGTAATTGTTAGTTCAGTATTGTGTATATATTTAAACTAATTTAAATGTTAATAACCCTAGATATTTCTAGAGAACGTCATCAGAGATGCTGTTACATACACAGAACACGCCAAAAGAAAAACTGTTACAGCCATGGATGTAGTTTACGCCCTCAAGCGGCAAGGACGAACGTTATACGGGTTTGGTGGTTGAAGTCTTCGTACTGCAGTCAATGTTTTTAACGTGTATTAACTAAATTATTATGAATGATTTAAATAAAGTTCATGTAACGTACATGGTTCCCTTAATGTATCGGACCAACCTGAGTTAGGTAATGAATATTAAACTTGTATGTTTTGTTTTTATAGTTTAAGTAATTATATTCGAACCTACGATGTCACCAATGTTTAAATTTTATAACTTCACTTTTTTTTTTCTGTTATTGCAAAAGTACCCCCCCCACTCCCAATTTGTTAGAAAGTCTATCTAAATAATATGCCACGCTCACGGAAAGCAGAGGTAGGGGAGAAGGGTATTTATAAAACTAAATGTACATCGTATTTTATTTCTCTTGTATCCATTTGTCTTGCAGACATTGACTTCCAAGTATCCACAAAAACTATGACGTAATATTTAAAAATATGTGAGGAGGATAAGGCCCAGAGAATGGTCCGTTGTACGTGGTTCTTGTACTTTCGTCTTTACGTAGCTTTATATTAATAATTAATCCCGCTTGCTACGTTCCAATACGAATTTAGTTTTGAATATCCCAAGCAAACTCATCGGAAGGTAATACTTTATTTTGGGTTAGAGGATACGTTATTGAACTACCATACTTTGTACGATAACCATTATTATTATTTTTTAATTATTTCCTAATTTGTGCTATTGCGTGGAATAAAGATAAATACATCTACTGCAAGCGAGAAAGAAAAAGATAATCGTCTCTACACAGACATGGCTGGATGTTGGAAGTAATTTCTAAATAAGCTTGCAAACTGACTGAAACTTTGACTGTGGGAAGGAATAATTATTTGGGTCTAGTGATGTTTTTTTTAATAGATAAAATATTAGGTCGTCAATAAATTAATAGTATAGTAGTTAAACGAACCGCCTAAACGTCACGTTAGTGTAGTCTATATAATGTGTTAAGTTTAGTGTACTCTAATTCCTTATAGTGATGGCATAGGACGAGACACACATTCGGTATGTAATGTTGTTTGAATACAAGAAAAGAAACAACGTCTCTGTAGCCCCAAAGAATATTAAAGAAGTTTATGGTTCAGCATATTTCATTCAGGTGACTTTAGCCTTAAAAACTGTGATGACAGGGACAGACATGTTGGAATTGATATTGATGACCTGAATACGTTTGTTGAGTCTAACCCAAGGCAGCACACTTGTGAAATGGCCCTGAAATTGCATGTCTTTCACGAAATGATGCGTAAACATCTAAGTAATATGGGAAAACTCCATAAAGAAGGTGTTTGGGTGCCTCACGAACTCTCCAATGATCATCGTTTCCAACGTGTGAACGTTGCTTCGTCTCTTCTGGCGTGTAATGCGCGTGAAACATTTTTGGACAAAATTGTCACCGGTGATGAAAAATGGATTCTCTATGCGAATATTAAACGACAAAAACAATAGCTTAGTCCTAAACAAAAACCACTTCCGACCCCAAAACTTTGACTCCATCCGCAAAAATTGATGCTTCGAAGTTGGTGGGACATCAAAGGAGTAATTCATTTCGAACTTCTCAATCCACTGCGAAATGTCAATGCAGAGATTTATAGTCAGCAACTGGAACGTTTGAATCGAGCCCTTCACTCGTCAATCGGAAAGGTGTTCTTCTTCTCCATGACAATGCACGTCCACATCAGGCAGGCACGTTTGACGCAACACAAGATCACGGAGTTGGGTTAGGAAGTTCTCCCACACCCACCATATTCTCCAGATATTTCACCATCAGATTACAATCTTTTTCATTCGCTGCAACACCATCTTAATGAGAAAACATATGCAAATGTGGACGGTGTTAAAGAGGACAGCGACATGTTTTTTGCTTCAAAGCCAAGTGATTTCTTTAAACAGGGCATTAACAACTTGATTGTAAGATGGAAAAGCATCATCGATAAGAATGGAGACTATTCCACTTAATACATGTCTTATTGTTCGGGTTTCTTCATCTAAAAAAAGCAACATTAATTTATTGACGACCTAATACATAGTTTTGTTTAAAAGGAAGACGAATTTAAAATATGCGTAAAACATTACATTCAATACTTTTTCTTTTTTTTTTTAAGAAAGTCTATTGGTGAAAAAGTTCGATTTTCATCTATTTTCTTTTTTTGTTAGTTTTTGTTTGTTTTGTTTTGAATTTCGCCCAAAACTACACGAGGACTATCTGCGCTAGCCTTCTCTAATTTAGCAGTGTAAGACTAGAGGGAAGGCAGCTAGTCATCACCACTCACCGCCAACTCTTGGGCTACAATTTTACCAACGAATAGTGGGATTGACCGTCACATAATAACGTCCCCATGTCTGAAAGGGTGAGCATGTTTGGTGGGACGGGGACTAGAACCCGCGACCCGCAAATTGCAAGTCGAACTCCCTAACCATCTGACCTTTTTGTAAGTAACCGATCTGTAAATCGCATCATCAAAAAGAAAAAAAAAGCAACTGAGAACTTGGAGAATGAGAGAGGGGACGAATTCTCCGGTAACTGCGTCTTGATATGCTTGTCTACTTCGTCCGTAGAGACCGCTACATCTAGAAGAAAAAAAAAAAGAGAAAAAAAAGACTTTCTTATCTGAACTGACGAAGTAGCGTCTGTATGATTCCGTTACGATAAGTGCATCTATTCCCTCGGGCATTCTCCAGCTTAGTGTAGTGTTGTCTGAGCTCTTTGGTTAAATATTGCTTCTGATGTGTTGTGTGATCTGTCTTCTTATCAACCAATGTCCGACAAAATGTTTTGAAATCTAAACCTAAGACATTTATTGCTGCTTTAAACGAATAAGGTTTTCAAGTTGTGTTACTGCATTATTTTTAAACGGTTGTTTGAGTGCCACATGAGTTTAAACTGCTTACTTTTAAAGTCTTAATTTATTGCTACTTAACTATAAGAATATCTTTCGATATGTAATTGTGATTATAACGCGAATGCCACTAGATGGCAGCAGAGTATGTGATGTAAACAACAAGCTATCACTTTTTTGTTTGTTTGTTTGTTTCTTGTTGTAGGGCTGTGGTCTTCGTACTAAATTTTAAATGAATGCGAACGTACTTTATTCACCAAGTGGCTCCAATGCAATAACAAAATATATTCCTTAAAAGTAACATAGTGGTGATTGTAAGTTATATTACTGAAACTGTAGATAAAACCCTAGATGTAAGACACTCGCGTTTACTTCAAAACGTTATCGTGTTTTTCTATTAAAGGTTTGAATTTGAGGACCAACTTCATATCAAAGACAAGTCGTCAAGCGAGGACCTTTTCAGATAAATGCAAAAGTCTGAAAATATAATACTCTTACGTCATTAGATATAGATATTTGTGAAATGTGTCAACATTTTTATTTGTTTACACAACATAAAACTATAAAAATGAACATATTAACATTGTCTCTGCACTGTATCATTCAGAATTAATTAGTCACTACTCTGAAATCGATAAAATAATGTACATAAAATAATTTAAGGTTATTCTATCTTACTGTGGCATACATTATACGCTATTTTTACGATATGCATTTCCTAAGATAATTAAGATATATAGAAAATATACATTTAATATAGGGAGTTTAGTTTTCTAAATAGTTCCAACTTGTTCTGTAACATCTAGCTATGTGAAACACTATATTTATGTTTCTGTTCAATTTTTCATCGTCAGCTCATAGCATTAAATGCGTGTAAGGGTTACAAAAGTTACGTTCTACTGGTGTTTAAAAACTCTAAATGAATAGATAGATGAACACTTAACACTAAATTCTTAGCATTTAGGAATGTCCAAAGGTTTAGTAAATTTTATAACAATAGTAAATACAAAACGAGCACATCAATATCAATCGTAATCGTTTCATAAAATAATATAAAAACTATCCAACTTGATACTTTTTGTAAAATAGTGGCACTAGGTGCAGTTTGATTTATCATCCTTCAGTTACACTTCAACCGGGAGCGTAGATATCGCTACAGAGTGGGATGAGGTGAGGTCTTTTTCCAAAAGAAATTTGGATCTTTCCTTCTATACAAAGGATTTAGATGACTGGATGAACTTTAGGATAACTGAATGCTTTATAATAATGTTACATAAGCAGTCATATTAAAGTCATACGTTAACGCCGTTACTAACTCAAAGTTTCTTACTTGTCGATAAGCCATTTTAAAGTGGTACCTTAGAGCCGTTACTACGGTCATGTTTTCCTTAGTTGGCGATAAGCCATATTAAAGTGATACCTTAAAGCCGTTACTTCATTCAAGTTTTGTTTAGTTGTCGATAAGTCATATTATAGTGATACCTTAAAGCCGTTACTACAGTCATGATTTGTTTAGTTGTCATTAAGTCATATTAAAGTGACACCCTAGATCCGTTACTACAGTCATGATTTGATTACTTGTTGATAAGCCATATGAAGGTGAAACTTTAAATCTGTTACAACAGTCATGTTTTGCTTACTTGTCCATATGCCATATTAAAGTGATACCTTAAATCCTTTACTAACTTAAATATTGCTTACTTTTGGAAAGTAATACCTTAGAGCCGTTTACTGCATTCGTATTGTACTTACTTGTCGATAAGCCATTTTAAAGTGATCCCTTAGAGCTGTTACTACGGTGATATTTTGCTGATTTGTCAATAAGCCATATTAAAGTGATACATTAGAGTTATTACTACAGTCATGTTTTGCTTACTTTTTTAAAAGCTATATTAAAGTGATACTTTAAAGCTGTTACTACAGTCATGTTTTGCTTACTTGTCTATAAATCATATTAAAGTGATACCTTAAAGCTGTTACTACAGTAATGTTTTGCTTACTTGTCGATTAGTCATATTAAAGTGATACCTTAGAGCTGTTACTCCACTTCAGTTTTGTTTAATTATCTGTAAGCCATATTAAAGTGATACCTTAAAGCTGTTACTACAGTAATGTTTTGCTTACTTGTCGATTAGTCATATTAAAGTGATACCTTAACGACGTTACTAACTTAAA